TCCCGATCATGTGCTCAAACATCCACTAACTCAAGACGGTTTGCTCTTTATTTTCTTTGATACCTACAAAATAATTTAGCTTTTGCTCTTTGGTACCCATACAACTTTGGATCCTTGATTGTTAGTGTTTGTAGACTTTGGAATCCACTTGTATTTGCTCTCAAAGTGAAACCTCTTTTTGATTAAACAATTAGAAGATACATGTCCATTTTTGTTAAAAAAATTACGTCTCACGTTTGAAATAGGGAAAGTAGAAACTTTAACAAAGAAGTTTTCAAATGACTTTTGTTTTAAAAAAATGGTTTGTATCCAACTCCTCATTTATCAAAAACACATTTTTGTTCACCAAACATTAAATCAAATTTTTTCTTGCTTTGAGTAAATTTGTGAATAATTTGAGTCAAATCTAAAATCTTTTCTTTTAAAGAGAATTTCTCCTTAATTAAAGAATCATAATTGAGTTTTTCTTTTTCAAAATTATTTTGAGTTTCCAAAAGTTTCTTTACTTCTTTTTCTAATAAAGAATTTTTCTTTTTAAGAGTAGAGTGTTTGAGAGTAAGTTTTTTCAAATTCTTCAAGAAGTTTATCATATGAGGTAGATAATTCATTATATAAAGAATTGTCATTTATGTTTACCTCATTTTCAAAGGCCATGAAGCACATGTTTGCAATTTCCTCTTGACTTCCATCTTCTTCATGGTCATCATCATCACTCTCATCCCATATTGATTGAAGTGCTTTCTTTTTTATGAATCTGTTCTTCTCTTCATCCTTTTCTTCTTTCTTTTTGAATTGACGATTGTTCCGAAAATTTTTTCATTTCTTAATAAGAAAAACTAGATCATCAAGTTCTTCATCATTCAAATTTTCACTTGAAGTGCCTTCATCAACTATTGATTCTAAAGCAATTTGGCATCTTTCTTCTTCTTTGCTTTTCATTGTTTTCTCCTTTGTGTCGGTGCTATTTAACTCATATCTCATCAATGTTCCATAGAGCTCTTCCAATGGATAAGTTTTGATATCTTTGGTGTTCTCTATCAATATTCTCAATAGGCCCCATTCTTCCGAGAGTGACCTAAGCATTTTACTCACAAGTTCACCGTTAGTGAATTTTCGATCAAAGCCTTTGAGACCATTAATAATATCGGTAAAACGAGTAATCATGTCAACAATTGATTCATTTTCTTTCATAAAGAAATTTTCAAAATCTTTAACTAAGAAATTTATCTTAGTTTCTTTCACTTTGCTAGTTTCAACATGAGTAACTTCTAAAGCATGCCAAATATCATAGGCGGAATCACATATACTAATACGATTAAATTCATTCTTATCAAAAGCACAATAAAGTATATTTTTTGCTCTAGAATTTAAAGACAATTTTTGTTTATCTACTTCACTATATTCTTCTCTAGGTTTAGGAATTATTTGATCCGGTTTACCATCCTCTTTAATAACCTTTATAGGCACATATGGACCAAATTCAATAACTTCCCAAATATTATAATCTATTGATTAAATAAATATAGTCATTCTAGTCTTCCAATAAATATAATTAGTACCATCAAAGAGAGGAGGACGATTTGTAGATTGCCTTTAAAAATTTTGAAAAATGTGGTTAGCCATTACTCAAGATTGTTAAATCTTTAATTTCAAAGTGAATACCTTGCTCTGATACCAATTGAAAACCCAAGGATAGCTAACCAAGAAGGGGGTGCATTGGTTATATAAACTTTTTCGAAAATTAATTATAGATTTAAACCAATACAAAAGTTAATGAATCAATTAATCAAATAACCACAAACACGATAACTAGCAAAGAACAATATAAGGATTTGAGTAATAAACAAATGTAAAAACTATAAGTAAAAGGAATAGAAGCCAAACGATATGTTGTGGAGGTTCGATCCAATGCAATGATCTATGTCCCCTATTACCAAGCTATCCAATATGAGCAATGACTTTTTCACTAAATTGATTGACTTATGGTGCAATCCAACCTTCTACAAAGCTTTTGGTGACTTACAAACAAAGAGCAACAATCCTTTACAGCGTTGAGCTTTTCGGGATCTCAACACTACCAACACTATTGAACTTTACGGGACCTCAATATGACCCACACGGTGACTTACAACAAGGAGCATCAATCCTTACACAATGTTGAGCTTTTCGAGACTTCAACACGACCCACACTTCATCAAAATGATTTTACAATCAAATCCTCTCTTGATAAATAATACAAAACAAATTAAATACTAAGAGAAGCTAACGCTTCAATGAATAGTAACAAATGATAGATCAAGTGTTAGATGAAAAACTTTAATGAAAAAATAGTTCAACCAATCAAGGCATTTTAATGAGCAGATGAAGAAGAAATAAATGCAATGTAAATTTAAATAATCTTCTCAAGAATATTTCTTTTTTAATTAATGATTATAATAAATCAAGTACTAAGAGAGAAATGAGAAACTTTGATGAACATGATAATTTTACAAATTTGATTCAATCAATCAAAGTTTTCAATATGAAGAAGTTGAAAAGTTTATGCAATATAAGTGCAAAAAACTTCTTTAAGAATATATCTCTCTTTGAAAATTGATAAAAATGAGTTGAGCACAAAGAGATATGAAAAGCTTTGATGAAGGAAATTATTCAAGAAATTTTATTCAACAATCAAAGTTTTTCAATATGAAGAAGTGAAAATATTTATGCAATGTAAGTGCAAATACCTTCTCCAAGAATATACCACTCTTTTAAGAATGAAATAAATAAGTTAAGCACAAAAAAAGATGGAAAACTTTGATGAGAATGATGATTAATGAGTTTAAATCAATCAAAGTTTTTGATATGAAAAAACAAATGAAATGAATGCAAATGAAGGCTTAAAGAATTCTTAAAACAAAAATATCTCACTTTGATTCTCTTGGAAAAATCTCATTAAGAATGGAAAGAGTGAGGATATTTATAAAGTTCAAAAATGAGAAAAAAATTTGTATTGGCGGAAGACTAGTCTGGTCGACCACATTTTGTCCGGAAGATTAATATAGTCATTTGTACAGCAAAAATCAAAAGTCAGAACGGTCAAATTTTGGACCGTTAGAGGGTGTCCGGTCAATAGTCTCCTACGGCCGGTCGACTGCCTCTCTGGGCGGTTGACCGGTCCGTCAGCGCGGTGTTTTTACGTTTTGGCCACATTTGTTCCAATTTGAAAGTTTTTAAGTGCGTGGACCTTTGGAAAATATTTTTAACTAATTTTTCATAATAAAAATATTTTTTAAAGTCCAAATATCACTTTTAAAAGTCATTTTTATATTTGATCAAAACATTACATTGAAATGACTTTTAATACATAGAAGGATTTTGAACATAACCATTCATTGTCAAATATCGAAGTGTTAGTACCTTTACATTTTGCCTAAGAAATTAAGTCTTAGATCTTCCTACAAAATTTCTTCCATATTTGGCTCTTGAACTTTTGATCTTCATCTTTCTTGTCATTGATCTTCAATGATTGATTTTTCTTGACATTTATCTTTAAGCTCTCGTCTCGAATGATTTGACTTGAATGCATAAGCAACTTCCAATTTGATATTCATTTCAAGTCCAATATATGTTGCTTGATAGATTTTAACATTGAACTATCATTACTCAAAATAAATTGTTAGAAATAATATCAATCTTGTTTGTTATGATCAAAACATTGATAATGAAGTCAATCATAGGTCAACACATTTTCCTCTCTTGCCCTCGTGCTTTGATAGACGAAAATATTAATTCCCAATCAAGGAATGACCTATTAGAGCATCTCCAAAAGAATTCTTAAACATAAGATGCACTCTATTTTAAAGTGTCAATTCTTAAAATTATGTTCCAAAAGATTCTTTAAATTAACATTTTAATTTATAAAGTGAGTTTGACTCTTCAAATTTGGGAAGTCAAGCTCACTATTTATAATTAAACATATTCTATGTGTTTTAATGTTTAATGTTGAAAAATAATAAAATAATGACGAGAAAAACATATTAAAATAAAATATAGAGAAAAATAATAAATATTTTTTTAGAGTAATAAAATTAAGTGTTACATTTAAAGAGTTTGTAGAAGTACTTCAAAATTCTGACTTTTTAAATTTATAGATATTCTCCAAATGATAGAATATGTTCTTTAAAAATAGAGAATCGCTTAAAAATACTCTTAATTAGTTAATATAGCCACTAGGATTATTTTTCTAATCTAAGCCCCTGTTTGGCCCCTATTTTGGGGTAATGAAAATGGGCGGAATAGTATTTTTTTTGAAAAATGAGTGGTTGAAAAAGAAGGAAAAGTTTTCGATTTACGTGTAATATTATTTTTTGGAAGATTGTGTGATTGAAAATAGGAGAGAAAAAAATGAAATGTAATGGAATGAAAATTAATGGTGGCCAAACGGGGGCTAAAAGCCTAAAACTAGTAATAGCTAAAAAAATATAAAGTCATGACAGGAAGTTTGGGTTCACTTTGAGGAACAGGTCAACAACTTGCCTTTAATTCAAGGGCAGTTCCAAATTTTTGTACTGTACTCTCAATAATGTGCGACCATCAAAATTATAGGCCAAATAATTGCCCAGTTTTTTGAATCATACATAACCTACGCATACCCAATTCTTATTTCCAAAAGAGAATTTATTATTCCACTTTCCCTCTGAATTATTGAAAACTTATTAATGGTTTTTTATTTTAAGGCTCATTTAACATGATTTTTTAGATTCAAAAATTACTGTTAGATCATTTAATTAATTTTATAAAAATATATTTTATTTTATTTTGTAATTAAAATAACTTTTAGAGGAAGTTCACCCAAGGCAATTTTGTCTGAAAGTTTTTTTTTTTTCGGAGAAAAGACTCTTTTAGATATTAGCTTTCAAATACTGATTAAGACAACTTTCTAAAAACTCTTCTACGAGAAGCCGTGCCCGTTTGACCCTAAATAATGATTGATCAAGTGGAAATCAAAAACCTGCAAATTCATTCCAGAAAAATTCCATATGAAGAGAATGAGATTCAAGTAAATGAGATCCAATAAGCATTGTTACACCAAGGGGAGAGACCTGTCATCTCTCCACAGTTGAATTTATAATTGGGTTCGACAGCCACCTAACGAAATTATCAACAATCTTTATAGAGAACAAATTACAATTACAGATTGTTAACAGCATTGTCTTGAGATCTCTCTATTCACAAGCCAATTTGGTGTCAAAGCTGCTCAAGCAGATTGCGAATGCCTGAAAAGCAGATAATGGATATCGATAATCCATTGTGAACATATCTTTACCAACCTTGCCAAACTGGAGGATGATTTTATTATGGTCGGACGACTGTGATGGTTGAGACGTCATTTGGGTGTTAGTGGTTGGTTGATTGGCTGCTATCAACTGAAAATTCTTGACTGATGCGACTGTTACCCGCCCTCGGAAATTTAGGCACCAACACTGTAATTGTTCATGCCATCTGGGAGACTTGTTCTTGAGAATCAGCGGACCTGATTTACTATCGTTGTCCTCATTGGCCAGCCGAGCAATATCAGAGAAACGTGAGCTACTAAACTCAGTAGAGTGATCGAGAGATTTTGAGAAGGAGATGCTTCGAAACGAGTCCTCAAGGGGCCTCTGAAGAAGCTCGGGTTGTCCAGGTACTACCCCACCGGGTTCAAGGGACGAGAAGGGTATTGAGTGCATCATGCAATGCATCCTGCGGGGACCCCGTGTCCCAAGCACATTCAGTTCATATTTAATTTGGGCTATGTTGTAGCTGCCAGTTGGTAATTTTGGAGACACTTTCTTGGAATAGAATCTCCGACTTGTTTTTCCAGGTTGAGGGATGTGTGAACAAGTATGCGGAGGCTGTGGGTCATATATTATAAACTTCGTACCAAGAAAATTTGATCTGCAACAAGCAGTAAGCTTTTCAAGTTAATGTTGAGGAACTCTACTCTATTTGGGGTAAAAAAGCAGCTAAATTAAGGATTATACAAATCAGGGATGTATACTCTCAAAGGTAAAAATATAAGAAAAAAGGAAGGCATGCGTGCTACAATAGGATTTTAGTGAAAATCCTATTCTGCAGAAACCAAGCATTAGTTGTACTGAAAATCAAGATAAATTCCTTTCAATTCCCTGTGCCACTCAGACAATTTTTATGCAGCTACTTGAGCCTCAAATGCACACTACACATCTTAAAACAGAAACTAGATGAAACAATGTCTACTAAACTAGTTTTGAATACCCAGCCACAGTGAATTTCCCGTCAGTAAAAATAGCCAACGATAATAACTTATTTGCATAAGCCAACCATAAGCTGCAGTTTAAAATCAATACAATGCAATTATCCTCTTAATCCATGCTAAATGAAATTGAATGCCTCTCAGTTCTGTTCCTTTACTCGTCTTTGAATAGATTTTTCGTAAGACACCCATAATAAGCGTCGCAAGAAACCTCATTCAAGAAACAGGACTTATAAAGTAAAGATTTCTCAAACTTAACCGCGTCATCTCTCAAGAGTAGAAGGGCGCGGGTGGAAAACAATAAGTATTTGGCACCAATTCAACTTCTTCGATGTGTCCATGCAGCAAATTTCATGAATTAAATTTTAAAATCTCCCTTAACAAAAGATATTTTTGTTTTCGAGTCACTGAATAAAGCTCTTCATCTTATGCATTACAAGAAATTCACAGTCATATTCAATTTTAACACAAATTTAGAAGGTAGAAAATAACAAGAAATTGGATATTTTCCAAGTTAAGAGATTAAAATTCCAAGTTGTAGAATAACTCATATTCCTAAGTAAAAATAAAGCCCTTGGTTAAAACTTTCTAGAAAGATTGGTGCTTTGTGTACTAAACCTCCCATTGACAAATATATTTGGTTCTTAAGAAATTATTGAGTAATCTGAGAAAAGAAACACACACAAAGGTAAGATGCATAAAGGTATAACAAAATGTTCATTTGATTCTACCTTAGTTTCCCAATATATGTGCTGCTTGATCTAGACATGTTATCTGCATCCATGGAGATAACATACTCTGTACAAGAAGTTCGACGGGTTCTTTTTGCAGAGAGAAGAAACTTGCCATTTTCAACTAGCAAAGCTGACAATTAAATTGCAACTTGCATTAGAAGAGTAAAAACACCAAGGAACACGGGGATTACAAGTGCAAAGATTAAACAGTTCCATTTCATTACAGGAGAAACAAATAAGACTTTTAAGCATCTGTATAATTCTATGCACCATTCTTCACAACCATTTGGAATCAAATATGCAATTGTTTGACAGAATCGATGTCACAATTTGACCTATTACATGTACAGAATGAAGAACTAATACTTCAAAATGGAAAATAATATTTGAAATATCAATGCCTGAATATTTATTTTAACATTCCTTTTAACCTTCTAACAGTGAAACCACAAAGTCGTTAGGTACTGTATTTCTTAGGAAAAAAGGTTAATTTAGAAAACTTTATTAAACAGAAAAGAAGGTAAAAATGCAAAATGACAATAACAGAAATTTCCGTGATAATAAATAGAGCATACAATCATAATCATTGCTAAATCAAATACTGGACAACTTATTCTTTGCCATTTGGAACATAAACATAACCAGCTACCATATATAACCAAGAAAACAAGGAAAAAATATGGCGAAACACTTGATCTAAAAACTTAAGTTGGTAGATAGGGCCAAGTATATATTATTTAAATATTATCTTCGATACGCTCCTCACATATAAGCAGGATTTATTTTTTCCCATCAAAGTCCTAAACTAGCATAATGTAATTTAAAGGGGGATTATCAAAAATGTCACTTTTTTTTATAATGAACAAAAAATTTGCATGTGCACCTAATTTTATCAAAAAATGTCACTTTTTTTGTGAGAAATATCCAACTTACCCTTCATGTCCCATTTTTAGGATCATTTAATGCTAGCAATTGAAGATATTTGATTTTAAATTTTAAAAATCTGATTTTGAAAAGAATAGAAATTTTGTGTCGACATAACCCAAAAAATAAAAAATAAAAAACAGTAAAGGCAGTCAGTTGCAGCCGTCGGCAAGAAGCGCGGCAGCGGGTGCAGTGCCTGCCACAGAGGCAGTGGCACTCGCAGCCGCTGTCCAGAGTAGCGGCTCAACACCCTCCGCCACAGGTGCCGGCCTGAAAAAAAAAAAAATTTGTTGTCGGTCTGATTTGGGTGATTGGGCCACTGCTGAATTGCAACAACAGCAGTCGAGCCGGACAGCGGCGGCCTCATGCACAGTCGCTGGCAATGTAAAGGGAAAAACAAAATGTTCCCCAACCGATTTGGGTGATTGGAGGCGGGGGCCTGTTGTGCAAATTCATAATTTGCAGGCCTGCTTGAAAATTAACATATTAGGAGCCAGTTTGGGAGTGATTTTGAGAATTGATTTTTTGATCGTTCGAAAAAAAGTGGGGTCCACCTGTGAGAGAAGAAGTGAAATATGAATGCTGAAATAGTGAAATAACGGTCAAAAAATCGATTTTTTAGGTGAAAAAATCGAGCCCAAACAGGCCCTAGGTATTCAAATAATTTAGAGGGTCAAAAATGTCATTTGATAAAAAATTTAAAAGGTAACATTTTTGATAATGCACAGCCAAATTTTCACACCCAATGAAATTTTCTTTAATTTAAATTGGTGATGGCAAGACTTGAACCAAAACCTTTACCTGTTCTGGTACCATATTAAACCAGTCGATGTAAAAGCTTAAGCGTTAGATAAGGCCCCATTTATACAACATAGATATTATCTTCAACACTTGTCAGACTACAATGGAAAAAGTGGTAAAAAAATTTAAGTGTTCATGCTAAATAGAGCGCTTTTGCGTGAAGAAAGGATAGAAAACAACATAACTTTGAAAGCCCGTAAAATATGTAAAGATCTCTCGCTATCTATATTATACTTACCAGGACTAAGACAAAGGTAAAGATGATATGTTAAATTAGATTTGTCCCTCTTAATGAAGCATTGAATGGTTCCATCACGAGGTCCAGGCTGTAAAGAGAAAAAAGCTAGATTCACAATTTGTCATTGTATTATTAAATGTGTTATTCATGATGTCAATGCACATGTAATCAAGCAAGAAAAACGTGTAGCAAACAACATTAGTTGTGAGTGGAATGATCATGACAGGGACGAAAGCATGATAAGAGGGTGGGAAGGAACCTGCTTTAAGGAAATGGGAAAAGTAAGCTTCCCGCATAACTCTGGACTTTTGACAATTTCCCTACACATAATCCTCCATGATCGGCAAACAGCAGCGCATGAAACCAGGTGTTTTCGATCAGGCCATGTGCTTTCACTCTCTTCCAATCTTCTAATCACATCAAAAAGTAATTCTGGTGGAAGATTAGCCCAGCGACTATTCTGAATTACCAAAGGTTGGTCATTCAAGTCATGGAATGAACCATGTGATTTTCCCCTGTGATGATGGATCAGGCTGACATCAAAACTCCGCCGGGATAAGCTCCTGAAACTCGATCTTATATCGCGAGATATACTGCGGAACGACATTAATCCCCAGACTTCTAAGTAGAAAAATAAATGGCAGAAGCTTTCCAAATCCTTTATATTGTATAAACCTTTTCCCCAATATTTTATAGCTTCCCTACACGTGATTTGACTGCAAATGAGCAAAAGCAAATTTCAGATATAAAAATAAATATTCAAGAAGAACGAGGAAAAGATATGTACAGAGAAAATGAGGAGAAGAAAAGAAAAGAACAATAAGGCGTAGAAAAGTAGTAAATTTTACCAGGTTCCTAGTAAATTTAGGTTTCATAATTTCACAAAGATGAAGACGAATTAAAGAATAAACTAGCTAATCAAGGTCTACATTATGCAGATAAACCTCGTGCGTGTTATAGAAAAAAAAATTTCAAACAAAGATCCAACATCTGGAAGACTTCAGCATTTGGACTCTGTGCAGACATGGTCTTTGAGGTATTGTTGTCTAAACTACCGTGTTCAGGTGAAAATTACTTCACACAATTCCCAAATGTAAAAAAGTCAACTGCTAAGTGAGCTATGGGCTGATTTGCAAGATCTTTTACGGAATGCCCAAGTATAAAGTTAATTTAAAGAAACGTGAGCATGCTATTTCGCGCATCAAATGTAAACCTATAAATTTTAAGGTGCACAGGCAGAGTAAACTCTACGGTGAAAGAAATTAAGCAAAATGATAATCATGTCGAAAACATTTCTTCAGTGGTAGAAAAGAAGCAGCTAACCTGACGCAAACACCAAAAATCGCATTAATTTCTCTAGCAAGTACCGGTTTTTCCACAATATTTAAGCTCAGAAATATGTAAAGCCTCTAAATTTTTTGAGTCTCTCTCCATTAACCATCAAAATAAAATAAAAAAGGATGAAAAAGAAAAGGAAAAAATATCAGAAATTAAACGCCATAGAACAAACCCCAACTTAATCCACGATATTTATAACTCGTTTTCGCCCAAAAATAACATAAAAGTTCAAGTAAATGGAATGAAAGATAATAAAAAAATTCGAAGGGCACTTCAACTTAAGCCTTGAAAGCATCTTATGAATCAAGAACAAATATGAAAATGACCAAAAAATTGAGATCAGAGGTCCATACCCCAGAAGAAGTCAATCTCGAAATCCATGTCCACCACACTAGTATGCTTATCCAAAACAAAAATTTTGGAGAACTTCACAAGCAGATCGAGAGAAGAAAATATGGGTTAGACCTCGATAAAAATACAGGCACAAATCACCTTCTATTTCACATACTTGAAGACAGCGGAGGACAATCTCATTCCTCCTCTAAAGACTGGATTAAATCTTGTTCAAGGAACCAGAGAGTATTGGAATAAAATAAAAATATAATAAAAGAAATAAAAGTCTCTGAATAGTGAATACTTTATCGGAGTGTGATTACCGCGTAGAATATATTTTATAGCTATTGACCAAAAACATGGCCATGGAGGAACTAACCAATAGCCAATTTTGACTTTTTCAATTTTGATTATTTTCTGTCCTTCCTAAAAAATAAAATTTTTAGTACAGAATATAGTCTTTCACGGGGTGCTTTTCTTCTTGACACAGAAAGGGACATCGTACGGTGGTAGTCTGCTCTGCTAGACTAGCTTCCGCCTTTTCTTGATTGCGTCGGAACGAAAAAAAATTTGATTACAATTTTGTAAAAAACTTACAACAGAGAATTTGAATATATTGAAAGTAAATTGAACATTGATTGATAAAAATTGAACATTACAATTGACGAAAGCAGAAAATTACAATTGCTGGTGCAAGGGGCGGATACTAGTGAGTTTGAAAGATTTTTGAATGATTAATACTCCTATAATAGCATTCAAAACAAAAACCTAAGTGACAGGAGTAAACGTTTAAAAGACGAGGAATCATACTAAACGTTTACTAATATCAAAGTTATTTTACAACTGAAATAACTATTACAATGAAAAGAAAATTATTACTCAAACTTGAAATAATATTTACAATGTGCGGTCGAAATTGGGTAAACTGCGACTACGATAGTGTCAATGGGCTAAGTAAAGCTGCGGTTCTTAACATTCTCCCCCATTTGTTTTGACGACGTCCTCAGTGCCATCAATGCATGATATGTTTCAATTAATGGTTTGAAGGCTCCGAGATCTTTTTCTCTTTCCCAAGTATTCTCCTCTCTGTTGTATCCAATCCATTTGACTAAGTACTCCTGATGATCTTTTCTAGAAACTCGAGTGATTCGATGGTCAAGAATAGTTTCAGCAACTTTCTTTCCAACTTTTTTCAGTTCAAACACAGGTCGCTTTGGCTCATTTCTAGATGCGTCCTCCTTATCCGCAAAGTGTGGCTTCAGCACACTAACATGAAGGACCTTGTAGATTTTACACCATGAAGAGAGTTCAACTCTATATGCAACTCTTCCAATCCTCTTCACGATGGGTAATGATCCAATGTATTTTAGCGTCAATCTTGAGTCCTTCCCTCTTGTTGGTTTGTAAACATTTCTGTCGGAAAGCTTAACCATTACAAGATCTCCAACATTGAATTCAATGAAACGACGCTTTAGATCTGCAGCTTTTTATACCGTTTTTGAGCTTTCTCAAGATAACTCCGAGCAATTTTAATATTTCATTTCCACTCTTGAGAAAAGTTCTTTGCTTGAGGGGACTTGATACTTCGTTCGATATCCACTGTATGAGAAAGTAGCAGTTGCTGGCTAGTAACAATCTCAAAAGGACTCTTATTGGTGGAAGAGCTCTTTTGGGCATTGAAACAAATCTGAGCTGCATCCAAAAGTTTTACCTAGTTTTTCTGTGAAATAGAGATAAAGCGCCGAAGATATTCTTCTAGCATAGAATTGAAGCACTCCGTCTGTCCGCCAGATTGTGGGTGAAAACTAGAACTCGTGCTCAAAGTTGAACCAAGAAGTTTGAACAATTCAGTCCAAAATATGCCAGTGAAACGAGGATCTCAATCACTGAAGATGTCCTTAGGCAGTATTTGACAATATGTTTGAAGAAGAGTTGAACTGTCTCTTCCACAAATACATACTTAGGCGCTGCAATGAAAGTCGCATATTTTGATAAACGGTCCACCACGACGATGATAGTGCCAAAATCTTCAATTTTTGGCAACCCAATAATGTATTCCATCGATTCGAATGGTCGGGTTGGGACGGAAAGGGGCTCCAGTAAGCTCGCATTTTTCTAATGATCTGTCTTATCTTGCTAACAAATAAGACAGGTTTTTACATAGGTTGCAATGTCGTCCCGCATTTGAGGCCAGTAGTACGTACGTCGCAGTAGTGCACAAGTGCGTTCCTCTCCAGGATGCCTTGCCCAAATCGTGTCATGACATTCTGTAATTAGTGATTTCCTCAAATCTCCGCCCTTAGGAACATATAGGCGGTCTCTCTTTATCTTCACTAGTTCCCCATCGAGCCAGAACTGTCAAGTTTTACCCTGTTTGATGAGGTCGACCAAATATTGAGTAGCCAGATTCTTCTCCATAAGTGTATGAATTTGGTCTCTTGTGTTCATGGAGACGGCGCTCCCTGAAAGAGCAGTTACAGAGCAAATGGCAGCCAAATCGGTCCGTCAACTAAGAGTATCAGCAACATGATTACCAGATCCGGGACGATACTCTAACATAAAATTGAACTCTGAAAGAAATTCCTGCCAACGAGCCTGCTTGCTCAATAGTTTTGGTTGGGACATGAAGTGACTAACTGCAATGTTATCTGTCTTCACAATAAATGGAGACCCAAGCAAGTAGTGACGCCATCCTCTGAGACAATGGACTACTGCTAACAATTTATTTTCATGTGTCGAGTAACGACGTTCTATTTGGTTTAACTTCTGGCTCTCATATGCTACCGGATGTCCTTCTTGCATGAGGACTCCACCAAGTACAAAATCTGAAGCGTCTGTATGAACTTCAAATGGTTTAGTCATAGTCGACAATGCTAAAATCGGGTTCGTCCACATGGACTTTTTCAACCTTTCAAAAGCAGTTTGGCATTGGGATGACCAATCCCAATCATTATCCTTCTTTTTCAATTCGATAAGTGGCAGTGCAATTTTTGAGTAGTCTTTCACAAATTTTCGATAGTAATTGCATAACCAAGAAATGAACGTACATCATGTACGGTTTTTGGTGGTTGCCAATCTTTGTGGCTGTAACCTTCTTCGCATCCATGTGAATTTTACCTTGTTTAATGATGTGACCCAAGAAACTGATAGATGTCTGAGCAAATGAACATTTAGATGGCTTGACATAGAGTTCATTCTCCCATAGCCGATTGAAAACTTGCCTCACCTGTTGGACATGTTCATCCAATGTCTCGTTGTAGATTACTATGTCGTCCAAATACACCACGACAAAATCATCTAAGAATTCGTGAAGTACCTGATTCATCATAATACAAAACGTTGCTGGAGCGTTTGTCAAACCAAAAGGTATCACTTTATATTCAAAGGCTGCATATTTGGTTACCACCGTAGTCTTTGCTTCGTCTCCCTTCTTGATCCGAACCTGCCAGTATCCAGACCTAAGATCAATTTTTGTTTAATACTTCGCCCAACTGAGTCGATCGAAGCAATCCGCAACTAGTGGGATAGATAGCTATTCTTTACAGTAATCTTATTCAAGGCTCGATAGTTACAGCACATTCTAAGAGAACCATCAGTCTTTTCTGAAATAATACAGGAGCTCCATATGGCAACTTCGCAGGCACAATCATTCCACTCTCCAACATTTCTCCCAATTGCTTCCTAAGCTCTTCAAGCTCAGGCTGAGACATACGGTATGGTGCCTTGGCGGGAGGTTTGACACTTGGAATAAGTTCAATCTCATGATCAATCGTCCTTCTTAGTGGTAATTTCTTTGGTAATTAGTCCGGCATGATGTCCTCAAATTTCTGAATAAGCCTTTTAAAGGGTTTTGGAATAGGATCATTCACCTCTTCGATCTCCTCTAATCGAAGAGTGCACAAAAAAGAAGGTTCATTTCTCTTAAAACTCTTACTAAATTGCATGGCTGAGATACTCCTCTCGCCCATCCTCCCAACCTGTGTAGGGATGATACACGGCTTATTACCCATCATCATTAACGAATCGGAATATGGCAACACTGCTGTCTTAGTATCCTGAAGAAATTTCAATCCCAAAATAAGCTTGAAATTATCCATCTGAATTGCAGATAAATTTATCCTTCCCTTGAAAGGACCTGCTTTGATCAACACCGATTTTGCCACTCCAGCAATTGGTTGAGCAGCGGAGTTGATTGATTTGACTTTTCCACTACCCTTTTCTAGAACAAGTCCGAGTCACTCTACTTCGGTACATGCTAGTTGTGGGTAGCACCAGTATCCACAATAGCCCTGATTGGCTTTCCGTTGATTTTTACATCAATGTACATTAAGCATTTGGCCCTACAAATTCGAGCATTCGCTTCTTCTTGCATCTTTCAATGGGACATCATCATTTTCAGCAACTCGATGCGACAGTGGGTTGCATCGATGTGAAAATGCCCCAACTACGTCCTCATCCTTTTCGGAGTCGGTCTCACTATGACAATTACCCTGTGGGGTCTCTTACTTTGAACTTGACCCGCCACTTGCTAGTTGACAATATGCATTCACCATCCACTTTTGAGGACACTCCGACACCTAATGAGGTCCTTCGCATAAAAAGCACTTCAATTTGGGAGTGGCATAAGTTCGGCCCTCTGTTGCTTTTCCTTTGTTCCAGTTGTTATTGTTGCTGCTGTTAAAATTTCCTTAATGGCTATTATGATAGTTTCCCTGAAAGCCATGGGTGCTTTGATAGGCTCCTTCTTTATTTTAAGAGTAACGTTATCCCCCATTTGGGTTCGAACTGGGTCTGTAAGGTCTGTTACCACCTTCAATTACTTGATTACTTCCCGAAGGTCGATCTTCCTTAGATTCCATTTGGTAGTCGCTCAAGCAGTCAGCGGCTCCCATGGCCGTGCTCAAATCAGTAACTTTCTGTCTTTGAAGTTTCGTGCGTGTCCTCGGTTTCAACCCTTCCATAAAGGTGAAGAACTTATCCTTTTCTGACATATCTCGAATATTCAGTATATGCCCTGAAAAGGATTTCACATACTTCCTGATACAGCTTGTGTGTTTTAGGTCTCGAAGTGCCCGTCGAGCCTGATACTCGACATTTTTTGAGAAAAAACTGCGATCTGATCGCTTCCTTGAGGAGATCCCAAGAATCTATTCGGACCCTGTTGGCCTGAATGTCAGCATATTTGGTTCGCCACCATAGTTTTGCATCTCCACCCAGATACATGGTAGCTGTGGTTACCTTTCTAGCTTCGTCTTTGATCGAAGCTGCGAGAAAATACTGTTCCATGTCAAACAAGAAGTTTTCGAATTCTTTTGCAGCACGTG